TGCATAAGTACTCAGCCTCAGTGCGAATTCACTGGACTCTGATGGTTGTTTGACTCTATCAAAAATAGATTTGACTGATGTTGTGATCCACGAATAGGTACTAAAAAGGCAATAAAATGGCACTGAGTGCTCTGTAGCATTTGCCGGTTTTTTAAATTGGCTAATGTGTCGAACTAACCATCCTAAGTTGGTGCGCTAGGTTCTGTATAACTGTGAACCTGTACTGCAACGTCCAAAAAATGCTTTCGAATGTTTAAGTCATCAAAGGAGGAGGTAAGACTTTTCATTACAGGATGGTTGAATGAACCTCCAAGATCCAACGGTTCACTCAAGGTCCGTTCCATGTCGACATGGCATTCTCTGTGTCGTTTTTCCGAACCGCCGTGAAATACGGCGGTTTTATAGTTCCTCATCGTGTTTTCGCCCATATTTCTCGATGCACCATCTTCCATTAAACTTCGTTCCATTTCTAGACTGTCCGAACCTAAACTTCCGCATTGTCGAGCCCGTTGCATTTCCTCCTGTCGACGAACCGCCTTCTCTCGCCGCATCTGGTCCTTGTAGAATTCGGCAAAGTTGTTCACAATTATGGGAATCGGCATGGCGAGCACAAGCACTCCACAAAGAGCACAACCGGAACCAATTACTTTGCCCCATGTGGTTGTTGGACTCATATCGCCATATCCAACTGTTGTCATGGTGATTATTGCCCACCAAAATGTGGCTGGAATGCTTTCAAACTTGGTCTCCCGTTCGTCTTTCTCGGCAAAGTAGGCAAGACTAGAGAATATGAGAACACCCATGGCTACGAACATCATCAGGAGGCCAAGTTCTTTGTAGGATCTACGAACGGTATATCCTAGTGCCTGCAAGCCAATAGAATGTCGTGCCAGTTTGAGAACTCTGAGGACGCGCAGCAGTCGAAAGACTTGAACAACCTTGCTGATGGCAGTGAGGGAGTCCAAAGCTTTTGAAACGTAGTAGGGAAGAATGGCAATCATGTCTATTATGTTCATAGGACTTTTTAAGAAGCGGTATTTGTAGGGGGCCACAATGAATCGAACAAGATATTCAATAGTGAACCAGATAATACAGACCAGCTCCAGATTGTCCAAATGGTATTGGGTGTTCCCATTAGCCTCAAGGATGCTATGCTGATGTTCTTTTAAGCAGCATGTCCTGTTTGTGATAATAGGTGCCGCCACTGTGTAGTTTTGGAATTCTTGAGTCATTGCTAGTGAATTCAGCGACAATCCAATTGTTGATAGAAGAATGAAGGTTACGGAAATTAATGCTACTATCTAAATTAAAATAGAAAAGGAGAATGCTAATAAGCTTATTCAAGACTCATAATTTTTCTTTACTGTGAAAATGATGACGGAAATCCGCGTATGTCCATATAGGTAACAATCGTAGTAGCGGGTTGTTCTAGAATACTTTTCAAAGCTTTCACTTAAAAGATACAGCCTTTTGATCCAAAAGTCATTCATGCATATTAAAATAACAAATTATCCCGCTGTGAGCATTTGAGCTTCATAATACCAATATTACATGATTCGATACAATGCAACCACATTAGCAGGAAATGGAAGAACATAAAGCCAGCTCATGCACTATTAACTTTTATTTTGTTACACTTGAAAGAACCCCAACTACTTGACCAAGCCTGATTTTTTTAAATGTGTTCCTATGCTAAATATTAGTAAAACAGAACAATTATGACTAAGATGTATTTCATTATTTCGAAAAGTACATTGCACTTAATCACTTCTTGAAAGCGGGCACACTCAGAAACTCTATCCTAATGGAATTACGACATGCTTAGTCATGCTAAACATCACTCTACAGTTCGAATGCATCAATAAGAACATTACGTATTCAAGTTTCAGCTGTCAAATCAAACCCCTGGAATGCTAAAGGTTTGATTTGACACCGAATCGTCTAAATTTGCCTTCAAAATAAAACTGAAAATGTTTCATATAAGGATCAACCTGATCTTGTAACCGTGAAAAAAGTCAAGAAGTCGAATAGGTAGCATTGTAGGTAGCCAATAGATTTAAATAATTGTACAATAAAATGGAACAATACGCAAGGATGCGCAATGCTTTGGCGCTCAATGAAGGCGTCAAGGGAGCAAAATTTTGTGGTGAAAATGGCGCATCGAAAGTAATTTGCAAAAATATCCAGGAGATTTAGGCATAAGGTTCTTATTACTTCGGTCTTTTGAAAAAAAACTTTTGAAGATTAGATATGAACCTAGTAGACTTCTAATGGGCAGAAGCCAAGGTTGCACAAAGCAAAAGGGAGTCAGCGAATTATGATGCTTAAAATTTTACCCAGTCAGTCACTTGGATTTTGACTCTTTTTAAAATATTTCACTGCATTCTCAAGCTTACTCAAATAAAGAGGAGATATTCCTGCCTATAAAATGAGGACTGTGGAAGTACCTTCTGGTTGCTGAAGGAATCTCCTTCGTTCAATTATTCATACATATAACAAGGGTAGACATTTTGACCAAAAGGTGCCTGGTAAAAAGGATGCGTAAAACATTTTCTTTCCTTATATTTTCAGGAAGGACTCGGGGCCTATATAACATCAGATTAATTCTGTCTAGTTCACAATTTTAAAGTATTAAAGAATTTGCATACATCCTTTAAAAGTTCCATTCCAATCTGTGAGGTAAAACCACAGTATTCCCACCTATTTCCTTTATTGATTGCCTAATCAGGTAGAGCACATTCAGGAATTTTTGGCACTTCGACAAGGCTTTCTACATCAGTAGGGAGACTGCAGATTTTATTTTACAGTAACATTGACATATACATTGGTGCACATTTTAGGAGCCCTGTTTATACTAAAAAATCAACTTTGAATAGTTGTCATCGCCCTAAAGTATGAAAATTATCGTGATTGCGCACTCTAGTTATACGGAAAAATTTCACGTGTTCTTGGTGTAAAGGCATTCATTCCAAATAAAGTGCATTGTGTTTTTATTCCGAAAAATTTGAAATGCTTTTATTCAGCGAAACCCGCAAATACTATTATTTTATTAGTAGTTTTTGTGTTGTTAGCATTTCTGAGCGATTTTAGTCCGGAGCAATTGTGCTATGATAAAAATCTTAACAAAGCCTTGAGAGCAATGCATATGAAAACATTGGGAAGATAGTTGGAAAAGACACCTACTTTCTGCCTATGTAAAATAACAGAGGCCAATAGGGTTATTTAATGGAGCTTTAACTTTACTCTTATTGTTTTGTGTAGCATATGATTCAATACGGAAAACAGAATTTTACAAATAGATGCTGGAGTTGGCGGCACAGCCACTCATGCATACGGTTTTTTGTCAGTTTTTCGTTAATCTCTCGTACTGTAAGCATTTGTTTATTGCTGTGTATAGTTTTTTGTAGATAGGAATTATTGGCTACCTGAATGCCATGATCACCACTCTCCACGCCTCATATATGGACGTAGACTATAAACAAGAAAGCGATGGGACCTTGTTTTGTTAATGTTCAATTTTTGATGGAAGGTTGACACACACGCACTCCATCAAAATCCCGCCTCGTAGTTATTATATGACGTGCTTTTTACTCGATATTAACTTATGTGTCCTGAGGTAACGTTATAATTTTCGGAAAGATTTCAAACTCTCTTTATCCTCACTTTGGAGGAATATACATTAGCTAAAACCTGATCGTGCCCGGTGATCCTGCAATCATAATTGTTGCTTAAGGACAACAATTTTATTTACTTGGAAAAATTGGAGCAATTAACATTTTTTTAGAGGACCTGGAACATTTATTGATCTAGTAAGCATGTTCTCCCTTAGACAATACAATGAGGTATATTTTTCCGGACAAATGATACCTCTGTGTTATTTATCAAGACTTTTAATTTCAGCATAAAGCCAACCCTGCTAGCAAACACACCTTCTGGCCTTTAAATAAATTCATTTAAAAGCGTTTCAAGGACATTTCTACAAACGCTTTGCATAATCAACCTAATTTGTGACACTTTAAAGGCGTTTTTTGTTATGCTAATATATGTGATAAAGTAATGGGGAATTAGTACCTGCTTTTACTGCAAAGCAAAAAAATTTGTCGGGTGCACAGCGTAACAAAAATTATACACATTTTGTTTTTCTGGGCCTGTGAAAGGCAATCTATGATTTTGAATAAGCACGCAATTATCGTACACTACAATCGCTTTTCACAATGGGTTAGCATTTTGAGTTCAGCCATTTGGAAACTGCCGTCATGTTTTTAGGTGTCGACTTCTATTGCATTTAAAACACCTCATTATTAAAAACTTGGTGGAAGCTATCGCTAAAGCGTCTTTCAAACTTAAGTAGAAGGAAGTTGTACTGCTTGGAAGATAGGAAGACACCTCTTAGTGAACCAAACAAACTCATCGATTAAATGCTTTTCATGGCTGTTGCGCGTCTTTGATGAGTTTGTCTACCCTCGGTGTCATTTTTAAACCTCCCGCGCAATTGAAGGTAAAAATATACACGGAAGATACCATTGATTCCATTCAACTCAGCCTTTAAGGATAGGCGCAGAGGTTTAAAATGGCACTCTAATTTTTATGGAAGTTCTTGTGCAAAGAAATCCTTTTTTGTGTCTAGTTGCTTCATCACTACACCACCAATTAAGCCTAATTCACAAAACATAAAATTAAATGTAATGAACCCAATTTAAGCTATTTTAACAGTGCATACCGAGTTTACTTCTCAAAAATTGCTTCGTCATAGTAATAGTTGGGATGATTGGAAATTAAGAGAAAATATACAAATCAAAGGCAGCAATGGGTTATAACAAGGGGATTTGGAATGAGGTGACATATTATAATTTAATTAAATTGTATAGTTAGTAATAAATACTAGTGCTCGAATATCGTAAAGTTTCATTTGCTAAGTCAAGCGATTTTCGATGGGATAAGGACATTGTCGCCGTGATAAAACATTTAAATACATTATTTTTATTTATTTGAAGTATGTTTTAAAAAGTCACATTATATTGCACTAAAGCACTTAACTGTGTAAAAATACGGCAAATAAGAGCTGGAATATCATGGATTAATTCAGCATTCACTACTGTTTGCAGGTAATTTCTTGATATATTATGGATAAAGTGCATCTCTTTTAATTAACCAGTATTCGACCAGGTTTATCAAGTTCACACTGGATTACATGCATTTTTCGAAACGATCAGGTTGAGTAATGAAAGTGCGCCTTACTAAACAATTCCAGTTTGTTAAATATTTCAATTAATCTTATCATCGATAAAACACTAATAGGCACTGCATAATCATGTATAAAAAGCCGTCTTTCGGAAAGTCCTAAGCTTACCACAGCAAGAAATTGACGCATAGGCTGAATAATGTGATTGGTTTTAACGCATGCAACTTTTTGAATATTGACGTGTTTTCTAAAAGTGGATTTAAACTCCACGGAGAAAGTAGCTATCCTTAAGTGACGAGTAAAAATAGTGATATTTTTTTAACAGAAAGCATGGTTTGTTAAGAAATATATGACTACACTTTATAATTATATTTAGTGACTACTTTATGCTGTAATACGTGTTTGTTTGAGTGTCTCTATCAGATGAGAAGCGGTTGCTTTGAGTTAGCCATGTAATGGAGTGGACGCTTTTAACCCCAAAATAAACGAGCCTCGATAACTTTGATAACATGCAGAACTCCATATCACTTATCAAATATAAATGCCATCTTTTACACACTTTCTGTTTGAAAGGCCAAAATTGGAAGTGAAAGTGAGAAGTACTGAACCACTTATAATGCCACTTTTGAAGTAAAAATGCGTTGAATGACAAAATTCAACGAATGATTGGTGAATGCTTATCGATATGAACACCTGTCGAGCAGATGGCTAGGGCTACATGCCCGAATGTATTTTCTCACGTAAAAAAATGTACTAACTGCTGGTTTTCATTTGGGGCTTTACCAAATTAAGCCTAGTCTAAATCGGCCTAATTATTCACTAATTAAGCCTTTCTGTACCATTATGGGCAAATTAGAATATTTATTTTGATCCCATAAGCCTATATAATGAGTGAGCTTCTCGTAACCTAATTCACGAATAATGGACTCTTACACAAACGTCAATGATGTTTGGCATCAAGACGCATCTAATAACACTCGCTTTTTGCTCTATTTCTTCCAGCCCTCAACTTCACTGGTTTTCGAGTAGTGGAAATCCAGAACTCTTCTCTCAAATGACAGTAAAAAGGTAAATTCGTACTGTTTAAAAATAGTACAAATTCAATAATGAAATTAATGCCTACGCGAACTTCACAAGACACAGCTGTGAGTATAAGTCTAATTCAAAATAGCTACGACTCCAACCATGTTCTCTAGGTCTAGCATGGTAAAAACCAGGCTCCTTTTAAAGTGCTAAGCGCATACAAGAATTATGTAATTTTATTGTGTTTTAAAAGTAATAGCGTTTTAAATATTTAATCAAAGTTTACATTCGAACCAATGCCTAAAGCAATCTAACGTGAGATAACACTCAATCATGTGTAGAATTTTGTGAGGGTAATTAGGCCTCGTTTGAAGTTCGCTTATTGCTTATTTGTTAATGATCATGACAAAAAGATGCAGAGTGAGTGTACAATTTAAAAAGCAATAATTAAGGAGTTGTTCATTTACCTAGCATTAGTTTCAAAGGGTTTGTTTAAATAAAATAAGAGAGGCCGTGCAAAAATACTGGCTTACTCTAGCGGCTGAAGAAGTTTGAGGCTTTTCAAGAATGTCCCATAACTTCTTACGATAAACAGCGCATTTATCATTTCCAAAATACTCTTCGTCCATCTCCTGCATAAAAATCTCGTTCACCTTTTTCATCTCATCCTCAACATGCTCCTTCTTCTGATAGTACCTGCTTAAGCAGCAGGGGTCCATGTTGTGGTCTTCGATGCCCCAGTAGATAAGATCGCTGCGGTATGCAAGGATACAAATATCATCCATCGTATGAAGACGGCCCGTCCGATACATATTTAGGATACAACCGAAGGTCTGCGGATGTCGATCAAAAAAGTACTCATTAGTGTCGATATTGTAATCATCGCACAGCTGCATAATATCCTGGTGCG